AACAGGAACGGACACAGCGAACTAATCGATAAAATTGAGCCCTCAATCCGACCCCCAAAAATCCAAAACCCCAATCAATCAAGAGAAACAGACAGGCCCAATGCACACCAAATGATTTCTCAAAAAAATAAAAACTTAAATCCAAAAAAACAATTACCCTCTTCTTCTTTGAGAAATCCTTGGAGTGATTCGACGAGGCCACAGCGACGGAGGCGTTGGGGATCGAATCAGACATCTTCGCCGAGTCAACTCGTTCGCTAGCCGGAAAAAGCCCTAAAATTGATCGGAGATACGCCGGAGAGATAGAGAGAAATGTGGATAACGGGAACTGCTCTGCTTTCGCTCCAACCCTTTCGTTTTTTTTTTTTTCTTTTTCCTCTTTTTCGACTCTTCAAAACGACAAGGCTTGAGCTGCCTCAACTGGGGGTTATTTATATATAGTTTGTATGACGAATTTACCCTCGTGTTTTTATCTTATTTTCTGTTTGCCCACCGCCTGGGTTGTCTCTTGTGTGTGAATATTGCTGGATATTTTTCGGGGCCTTTTTGGTAATCAAAGTTTACGGTACTTAAATTAATATGTGCAGAGATACGATATTTTATTAAATTAATAATTTATAATGTTTTGTGCTTTGTAGTTTGTACTAATTTAATTAATTTGCTAGGTTTCTTGAAATTCATGACTACTAATAATAAACATGGCTGTTTTAGAGGTTCTCGAGCCTAAATATTAATTTATGTTGATTTGTAATATAATGTATGAATTTTTTATATGTTTATTTCTATATATAATATAGATATATTAATAAAAATATAATATTTCTAGTATAAATATTTATTTGTTTTTACTATTACCCCAACTAACAAAAGGAAAGGTGCCCTCCAGCGCTACCTTGCTAGCGGCGCTAGCTTCGACCTAGCGCCGCTACCTGCAAGCTAGCGCCGCTAGGGCCTGTCGCTCCACTTAGCGCCACGTCGCCACTAGCGCCGCTAGTGCTGCCTAGCGGCGCTACCCAGAAATTCTCACTAGCGTCGCCATTTTGTTGGATTTTGTTGGGTTTCTACTTCGAGTGAACTCTCGGTTTGTGAGTAAGCCCTCGGTTTTGGTATTTTCGAGTGAGGAGCCGACATGTGGCTACCCATTTCGACTTGATAGCCGTCTCAGTTGTATAACTTCCAGTTTTGATCAATACAAATTTATTTAACGATCCAAAAAAAAAAAAAAATATCATGACGTAGTTCACAGGTTTATTGAATTTGATGCTTAACAAAGTTTATTGTTTTTTATGCTTAAATTAAAAATAAAATAAAAATAAAAAATGACGTTTTCCAATTAAAGCATTAAATGAGTAATTAATGAAGTAATTAGTAATTACCCTGGTAAATGCAATTGTGTATATCACTAGTTTCTTTTTCTTTGTTTTAATCGATGGATAATTACATATTTATAACCTATTTTGGTTGTGATTAAATTTATTGGATGACTAGAGTTAATTTTAAAAAATGTTGATTGAGTTAAGTTTGAGCGTGATTTTGAGTTTGTATTAAGATTATAAGAGATAGATGATTTGAAATTATTGGTGGTTCAAATTATGTGAGTAAGTTATAATTAAACTTAAGTTGATGTAATATGTAAAGATGATTGATTTGTATTATTTAATTATATTAATAATATTGAATAAAGTTTTTAAGAAACTGGGGGAAAACGGGTGCGGTCCCACTAACATGAAGCGCACCAAAGCGGGGAAAGCCCATATGAAGCCCAAGGAGGAGTAGCTCATTAGACTTATAAGGTGGGTCTATTTTCCATGTACGAACGATGTCGAACAACTCACAAGTGATATTCTAACACGCCCCCTCACTTGTGAGTCCTTCGGAAGTCCAAGCCCAATTGGGTGCCCCAAGCCTACTAGAAGTAGACTCCCATAAACGGGTACGTGGGGAAGCAGACTCCCATAAACGGATGCGAGAAGCCCAAGCCCAGCAGACTCCCATAAACGGATGCGAGAAGCCCAAGCCCAACTGGGTGCCCCAAGCCTACTA